AAAAACCTTATTTGTTCAAAACTAATAATTTTGAAAAAAACAATAAAAACCTTCCTGGTTCTTTACGTTTTATTAAAAAGCTTTATTTCACTATTCAGTAAGTGTAAACAAATATAAGCAATATTTTCCGATTTTTACTTTCCTATCTGTATACAGATATAAGGAAAGTATAGGAATCATGTTTTTTTTTCAACCTCGAGTTTTCGACGGATTTTTACGTTTTGAGGTCCCCTGAATCCGTTTTGACTATGTTCGCGATGATGTCTGTGTGTGTGTCTGTGTGTGTCTGTGTGTCGCATAACTCATGAACCGATACACAGAAAAACACTAAATTTTAAACTTAAGCTTTGGTTCAGCGTCCAATTAACTGATTAGATTTTAAGCAGAGTCGGAACATCTGGGGGGGTACCTTATGGGTGGTCATTTTTATATTTTATGGTATATATCTGTTATTTACGTTTGAAAAAGAAAATTTTTCAAATAAAAGTTACTTCTTATAATTTTCCTAAAATGGTCCGTATTCAAGAAATTTAAGAAAATGTAAAAAAATATTTTTTTATAAAAATTGTTTAAATAAAATATAATTTTCTAACCCTGTATTCGAGAAATTTGAGAAAATTGTAAATTTTTAAATTTGAAGAAAATTTTAAACTTAAGTTTTATTTCGGCCTGACGTGAAATGATTAGATTTTGGACAAAGTCGGAACATCTGAGGGGGTACTTTATGGGAGGCCGTTTTTATATTTTATGGAATATATCTGTTATTTATGTTTAGAGAAGAAAATTGTTCAAATAAAAGTTACTTCTAATATTATTATCTATAATTTCTGCTTTAGGTCAAAATTTCCTGAAATGGTCCGTATTCGAGAAATTTGACAAAATGTGCAAAATTCTGATTTTTATGAAAATTGTTGAACTAGAAGTTGTTTGCGATATTGATCTCTATAATTTTTGTTTATACATGATTTTTCTAAAATGGACCGTAATGAAAAAATTGTAGGAAATTTAATTTTTTCAGTATTTTCGTTTTCAATGAATATCTATAGAAAAATGTTTCGAGGCAGATGTATGTGGACAATGTATATATTTAGTTTATCCTCTGAACATTTATAGAGATGCTGCAATAGGTTGTACAAAATAACCGGAAAAAGCCTATAATAACTAGAAAGGAAAGTCATGTGTTGAACACATCAGATTTTTAAATATTGGTATCACTAACGATCTTTTTAGTTCAATAGGAAATTCTCCTTGTAGTAATATTTTATTAACTAAATGAGTTAAGAGTGGGGTAAATATTTTTAAATTCTCTTTTAATAATTCTGTTTGTATATCATCTATTTCGGGTGATTTTTTGTTTGCTAGGGACTTTATTATGTTTTTGATTTCAATATTTGTTAAAGGCAATAGAATAATGGAATTTTTCTGAATATTTCTCTTAGGTTGAGGAGTGTTAGGAGGGCTTATATTTTCTGCAAGAGTTACACCTACTTCAGATTCAGCTAAATATTTCGCCTTTGTTACTATATGCCCATCAACAGTATGTATTTCTTTTACTTTATTGTTGTTTTTTGATTTGCTTTATATTTGATTAATCATTTTTCATAGACCTTTTGAATTTTCTTTATTTTCATTTATTTGCTTAGTATAAAAATCTTTTTTAACACGCTTATATTAGCTTCACCTGTATGTATGTTTCTAACTCTCTTTTGGACTCAAGTGACTTGTTACTGTCAGTATATCCCATTAAGTCAAGTTCGTTCGTGGCCAAGCGATCTAACGCGCGGGTTTTCGGTTGTCATTATCACCGATCGTGGGTTCTAATCCCCACGGCAATTTTTTTTTTGTTTTTAATAATTAATCGAACTAAAAAGTAAAAAATAAATATAGTTTAAAAAAACTGAAAAACACGCTTTTAGAGCATATCAAACTAAAAAGTTTAAAATAATTTTTCACTAGTAATACCACTAGAGGTCAAATTATTTCCGGAAATTTTTTCGAGCTCATGAAAATTTTCTAAAAATATTCATGAGCGAGAAAAAATTTCCTGATATTAATTTGACCTCGCATGGTATTCGGTAAGAAAATTCCACGCCGAATTATGGTTGAAAATTAAATATTTTTAAAATTTATTTTTCGTTTCTTAACAATGCAAAGTATTTTCTCAAAGCAAAGTCACCAGTGAAACATAAAAGGTGTTGTCGCCTTGATTGTTGAGTTGTCATGGTAACTAAGTGAGACCCTAACCTCGAATATAATTTCAGTTTTGAAGTTGTCAAGCGGCCCGACGTAAAAAAATGTTTCGCTGCAATTATTTAGGCCTTCAAATTGCTTATTTCTACTCATTGTAGTTGCATGGGAATACTATTTGAAAATAGAAAATGGTATATTCTTTAATTTTACGTAAGTTTTGAATAACTACAAGTGGTAGAAAATTGTTTTTCTGCGTTTTTATTAACATGTGTTATAAGCGCTTTAAAATGGTATGAAATTCATAACCAGCGTCAGCAAGCATCAATCGTAGGAGGCTGTGATCATTGTATTTTGACAGTTCAAAACATTAAATAACTCGCGTTTTGTTGCGATAAAGAATATTGCACAGCAAGTAAAACCAACAAAATTATTTGTTGTTTAAAAATGAATCGATTTGAAAATCATACGCTATGCAAAATATGCGTGAAATTGTCTGATGTAATGATCAATCATTGCACCATGACTTACTTACTCGGATTAATAGAGGATTGTGGCTCCAACTTGAAAAACGAAAATTTGTTCCGAATTGTCCACGAATATTTGCACCTAAACTACGCAAAATTCAAAGTGCTGAATGGGAAAAAGGTGAATAAATTAGTGTCTAAATATTATATATATTTTATTAGACATAGACACATAATTCAAAGTCCTGCATTTTCGCCATTAAGAAGAAAAGAAGTGGCCGAAGAATATAGAAAACACCTTAGCATTGTAACTAAAATGTATCAAAACTAAACCTATTATGTGAACAAATAAAAACCAGTCTGTCAAAAATGGTCTGTTATTGTAAACGTCAAAAAATTTCCAGTATAATTCGCTGTTGGGTACCCCACGAGAAAAAAATTTCCACTAAAATACCTCCGTTGCCATGGTGATCTGTCAAAAACACGTATTTTGATTGGTTCAAAATTACAGGTGTGGAATTTTCAAATAAACTTAAAACAATAATAAATGGAAAATACTAGTATTATTGTGAAAAAAGCGTAAGGCGCTTTGTCCACATTTCTCGTACATCGAGCGCCCGACGCTTTTTTTATTATTGTTTTAAGCTTATTTGAAAAATTATTTTTAACTTTTTAGTTTAATATGCTCTAAAAGCGTGTATTTTAGTTTTTTAAACTATATTTATTAGCTTTCCTTATAACCCTATCCGTTAATGTTCTATAATATAAATATGCTTCTTTTTTTTCTATATTTTCCAAATCTTTTTTATAAATATGATGAAGTTTTTTTCTTTTTGTAATTGAGTTAATAATACCCCTGGTTACCCATTGTTGCCTTTTAAAAAATTTTTTGTTTTCTCTAATAACTTTAATATTTTTATTTATATATACTTTTAATGTGTTTACTAAATAACTAACTTTTTTATTTAAATTATTTATGCTACAAAAGTCTTCCCATCTGTGATTCTGAATATTTTCTTGTAATTTTTTATAATTAATATTCTTGAAAAATGTCTTTTTTCAGTTATTTCAGGTTGTATTAAAAGATATGCGATTGTAGCTTTGTGATCTGTTATTGGTATCATATGTGGCTGCTATAAATTTATTTAACGCATCAGACCTATAAAATATATGGCCTAAGCTACTTTTAGATGTTCCCTGTACTCTTGTATATTTGTTTATTAGCGATACGAAGTTATATTCACCTAATATATCTAAATATGTAGAAACTAGGTCAGCTTGTTGTTTAATATTTATAATAACCTGTCAAATTTAAAATAAGGTTTCCTGTCAATGGATTTTCGTTTTCGTTTTTTGCTGATAATAAAATCATATGCTTCTATATGCTTCTATAACAATAAAAAATTCCTTTGCAAGCATTTTTTCTCGTATGGTTTTGCTACTTTCGGTGTAAGTGTAGGGATTTCTCTACACTGGAAGCAGCATATACTGAATGCCAATTTTAATAATACAGAAATGATTTAAGTAAACAAATAAGATTTACAAATACATAAAATTTATTTATTTCTCTTAAGACAACATAAAAATGTAATATGAATTGTTTTCATTTACAAATATTAATTGCAATGTAAGGGTTTCATAGTACCCTACTTTTAAAGTTAATTTTAAACTATTTCTAAAAGAAAAAATATGAAAGTGTAGGTTAAAGTATTGTTTTTACTAAAGTGGTCCAATTTTGTAATTTTTTTTAAACAAAATCAATTTTTGAAAAATTTTCTCCGTAGGAGCACATATTTAACATTTGTCTACACGTATATATTTTTTTCTTTTAGAAAAATTCACATATAAACTTTAAAAGTGGGGTACTACGAAACCTCTGCAAGCACTGCTCTAAAGTCAAGTAAATACTCCTCTTAAGTGATGTTTATTTACTAGAAACCGTAATTTTCTTTTAATTGAGAATTACCAGAAATAAGTTTTTGTTTTCCATTTAGTTTTATATTGTTCTTATTTTTTTTTTATGTAATTATTGTGCAAAATTCACTGATAATTTAATACTAGTTTTAACACCTAATGAATTAAAATTAAAACCCGTATTATGTAAATAATGATGTCACTTTATTACCTACTATCTATTGAAAATTAATTTCGAAATAAATTTCTATAAAATCCGTATTGTTCTAACAAAACACCTATTGTTGTACACATTGCCAAACACGTTTAAAAATTTTTATTAGATTATGTACGAAATTTTTATAATTGGAATAAATTAACTACCTACTACTCATAAAAATTGAATATAAACGGATCACGAAAATTTTAATTAAAAAAAATTAAGTCACTTACCACAATCCTCTATTATTGCATTTTCACATGTCACTAAGCAGGAACACCACAATACCAAAACACTTAACGGCAATATAATTTTCGAGACCATTTTTGACGACGATGACGGAGAGCAATTTTCCAAATACTGAGAGTGAATCCACAGTGGTCGGCGTATTTAGCTCGTCATTATCTGTAATTCAATTTGTATTAGTTAAGCGACAATTTTTGTTTTGCGTTTTTCGTGTATTTATAATTTGGCATCTTAAACTTGATTATTTTACAAAACGGGTTTCCAGAAATTCTTATCAAAAGTATTAGTTTAAGCAGTGGCACACAAACGATTATTATAATAGGGGTATGAAATGCATAAAATGAACAAAATTTATCGAATGGCATTTGATAGAAAATACATTTGGTCGAATAACATTTGATCGAAGATATAACATTTTATCGAATAACATTTTATCGAATAACATTTTATCGAATAACACTTTATCGAATAACATTTTATCGAATAACATTTTATCGAATAAAATTTTATCGAATAACATTTTATCGAATAACATTTTATCGAATAACATTTTATCGAATAACATTTTATCGAATAACATTTTATCGAATAACATTTTATCGAATAACATTTTATCGAAAAGACAATAGATCGAAAATTAAATAAATCGAAAGGACAATATATCGAAAATCAACATTAAAAATAGGAAAATATCAAAAAATCAAACGATACCATTTAACCGTACGTCTAATCCCTACTACCAGGCAAACTAAACTAAGCAGCTATCAAAATTAGATACTAATGGCAAATTTTTTAATAATCTCAAATGATAGCTACCTCGTTTAATAAATGTTATCCTTACAACAGCGTTAACTTAAAAATAATCATTTTAGAGCTAAACGATTATTTATTTTCATTTGGAATAAAAAAATGTGATTAATTCGCACAAAATATGTATTTCAATAAGGTCGAGTTGTCTTCCGATGGGGCATTTTAGGTAAATTATTTTTTATATAAAAAATTTAATCAATTTACCTAACCTGTGCGACCTAGAGCCCTCGAGGGTTGCTTCGCAAAAAAAATTATACAAAAAAGTGAAAAATAAAAACTTACCTAATTTACCTAACCTGCGCTATTTAAATTTAACTGATTGCTCTCGCGTATGTTACGTAAGTTATTTTAGTTTTTTTTATTACAAAAAATTTAAATAATTTATAGAAAAATAAGACAACTGAAAACAAAAACTTTAACTTATTTAGCTAACCTGTGCAACCTGGAGCCCTCGAGGGTGGCTTCGCAAAAAAAATATACAAAAAACGGAAAAATAAAGAAAACCTAACTTATTTACCTAACATGTACGGCCTGGAGCAATTTAACTGCTTGCGCTGACACAGGTTAGGTAAGTTAGTTAGGTTTTCTTTATTTTTATAAAACTTAACTAACTTACCTAACCTATATCAGAGGAATCAGTTAAATTGATCCAGTCTGAAAACGTCGCGGTTTGCCTCGCAAAAAAAATTATAAAAATAAAAAAATAATAATTTACCTAACCTGTGCTATTCAAATTTAAGGAGGTCCTTTCGCCACCAATGTTAAATAAAAAATATTAGATTATGACTAACATTAATCTTTTTTCTAATAGTTGAAGTCCTTATTTATCTAATAGTGAACTTTTAACTATACTATAGAAGCAGTTTCATATTTATATATTTGCTTTAGTCTATATTTTTTAAATATTATTTTGAAGTTATTTAATATAAATTATTTTGATTTTAGTTGGAAGTTTAAATAAAGAGTTGTTTTACAAAGTTTAATTATTGCATATTAATAAACGTTTAATAGTTACATATAACAAATATTTCATTATTTCATGTATAGATCACGTTTATTTCTTGTTTAAAAATATACGTGTAATTGATACGCTATAAAAGATTATTTTATTGGCATATAAACGTTTATTGGATCACTTAAAAATACGTAATATAGTATCGTTAAGAAAGCGGGAAAATAAAATCGTTGCAATATTACGTATAATTATAATACAATTTTTTTAATTCAAAATCATCCAATATTTCTTCTTTTTCATGTTAGAAACTATGTAAAATTCAACATTTGATTTTAATACTTAATAGTAACATAAAAAGTTACAAACATACGTTAATTTTAAATGCAATTTGTGATTGCGAATAACGTTATTTTCCGCGACATTTGGACTATTTCTCAAACGTTTCATTATTAACCAATTTTCGACGTTTTTTTTACGTACGTCTTCCCATTGGGATGGAATTCAGATAATTTTTTGTATAGTCATAAAATATTTATTCTAGTTTATCTATAAATATAATTAGCAACAGATCAGCGTGATAAAACTTCTTAGCAAAAACTAGAAAGCAATTCAAACTTAGTAATATTAATAATAATATTAAAAATATAGAAGCATGTAATAGATATATTATATAAAAGAATTAGGAGCTTAATAATTTCAGATTTGTTTTTTTTTTTTTAGTTAAGAATTTTTTTATAAAAATCGTAGAGGGTATTAATTTTTTTATAGTATAATAAAAAGTACAGGGTGTTTGTTAATTGGGTGCCGATACTTCAGGCTGTGAACCATTGGGTGATTTTAAGAAGAAAAGTTAATATCAATATATGTAGTAAACCTCTTAATTTTTGAACTAAAAGGGTGTTACAGTTTTTAGGTTAAATTTAATTTTTTTTCATAATTTTCTTATTACACCAGATATTTTTATGAAATTTTGTAGGCACCTTTTAATTAGTAAGGAGCATTTACGTACATAAAATATTTTTAAAATTTTTACCATTGACATCCGTAAGGGGTTTGAAATGAATATTTTTAAATTACAAAAATAATACAGCACTACTTTTTCTAAAAACCACATATAATTTTGAAATCCATATTCATTTTGAAGCAAATTTGGTTGTTAAACTTACTTTCGTATGAAGCACCGTTTTCGAGTAAAAAAATAAAAACTAACAAAATTATTGAAACTGCTTTTGATATTTTGTTGAAACAAGCCTGGAAATTTTCTACTTTTACAAATGCCTTTCATGCATGCATTCTACTGAATATTTAAATAGAAAAAACAATAAGCACATTAAATACCCTCTTAAAGCAAATAAAATAGAAATTAGTTGGCTGGGTAAAACGTCATAATTTTTGAGGTTTCTTTTTACAAAGACAATAAAGTTGACATTGATTTTACATTATAAAATTATTATTATTATGAGAATAAGAGGTAAAATCTAATATAAAATGGTAAATTTGTTTACTCATATCACATTCAAAGAATTCAGGTATTACTCCCTAGATATTTCCCGTTCGCTCATTTCTGGAAAATCCGTTATTAAAAACTACAAATAAATTTTTCTTTGTATAAAATATGCAAAGTCTATCCATAACATTTAAATATAAAATAGATTCCTGCAATTTACAATAAATTATAACAAAGAAGAAAAGGCATAGATTTTAAAATGGTATGTTGGAGGTCATTTGAAAAAAGACATATTAAATTCGTTTATTTCTGCTTTGGAAAACATACCCATTTCGTTACATTCCATAATTTTTCGGATTATTCAAAAGTTTGAAAAATGTTGATAGATCTTTTATACTCAGTATACTGTAACTTAAAGTATTACATTATAATGTATGTAGTATATTTGAACTCAAAAAATATATGCCATCATATTTTGTATTGTAGTGCATTATTAAAAAAATATTAGGAGCTGAGCTTTACCTCCGAAATTATTTACTTAACTATAAACGCACTGTATAAAGTAACTATATAAACATTATTGGACATATTTAATTATTTATTAAACTCTATCAATATTTTAACTTTGTTTTGGAACAACCATTCGTTTAAAAATAATTTAAATCCGTAAGCAATTTATTACTGATAAAGAACTAATTACTAATAAACAACAAGATATTGCTTATTTGCGATGTAAATAATAACAATGGCGATGTATTTTAATGATAATGAATGTGCAAGAGTGCTTAAAGGTAACCATAAAATATTTTTACATTTTAAATCTTCTACAGCGTACATCATGGCATTTATTTTTTGTTAGTTAAAGTAATATTAATAACTTCTGTAGTGTAACTCTAAAACAATGTCACTGACCTATTTTACAGAACTGATACTTAAGATGTCATAAAGGTCACTATTTGTTGAGATAATATGTTAAACACAATTCAAAAACAAAAATCCTGTTAAGTTCGTTCCAAGACATAAAAGAAAATATATAAAGGGTGTTTCAAAAAGGTATGTCATAAATTCTTCCACAGATAGATTATAAAAAATAAGTGGATTTGGCTATATTTACCTATATCAAAAACTGGCTACCAACAAAGTTACAGGGTGTTAAACTAACATTCAGAAAAACTTTTTTTTTTGTAAAAAGTTTGCTGTTGCGAATTTTTTTTTTAAATTTTTGCCAGTGCTGTAGATTTGAAGGCCCAATATTCTAAGTAGAAAAAAATTTAAAGCTACCCTTTTAAAAAAAGTTGGGGGGTTGGGTACCTTTTAACCCCCCCGTATTTTTTTTGTCATAAAGAAACTTGCTTTGTCGATCTTAAAATCAAAAAGAACTATGAATATTTAATTTTTTTTTATAGCAAAATAAACTTGGTATCTTTCTTAGTTAACGAGCTATTTACAATTTTTTAACTGCATATTTGGAGCAATTCGTGCGTCCTGAACTTAACATATCAACAAAACTAAGAGTAGGTCAGAAGTTATTGTACAAAAAACGCATTTAAAAATCAGTGGTGTATCTAGGGCTGTACTTGAGCCGCCCCTGCAAAAACTACCTCTTTTATTTATATTTTTGTATTCAAAAAGGAGGAGGACATGTTAAACATTTACTAAATTAAATAGTTTATAAAATTGTATAATAATAATGGTCAAGTGTTTATTTTTAATTGTTAATTTTTTAATTGTTTAATTAAAAAAATTATTTTTTTAATTAATATTAAATTTAATAAATACATTTCCAAACTGACGTGTATTTTTATCAGTGGCATGGTAAACCAAGGGTGGCACACCATTTTTATGACGCCAATCCGATATTATAAATACCCTTTTTACAAAAATATAAATAAAAGAGGTATTTTTTGCAGGGGCAGCTCAAGCACATCCCTAGACACACCACTGATTTTTATATGCGTTTTTTGTACAATAACTCCTGACCTACTCTTAGTTTTGTTGATATGTTAAGTCCAGGACGGACGAATTGCTCTAGAAATTCAGTTAAAAAATTGTAAATAGCTCGTTAACGAAGAAAGATACAAAGTTCATTTTACTATAAAAAAAAATTAAAAATGCATAGTTCTTTTTGATTTTTAGATCGATAAAACAAGTTTCTTTATGACAAAAAAAATACGGGGGGGTTAAAAGATACCCAACCCCCCAACTTTTTTTTTATCTTCTATAAAACAACAATTATTTTCCTTCTACTCAAAACTAACCTCAAAAATCCTTAAAAACTCTGGCAACAAATAATATATTTTAAATTTCTGACAATTAAAAAATATGATTTGGTAACACGATTTCATCACGCAAAAATACCATTATTTTTATAACTTGTAACCAACATTGCGTTTGTAAAATACATTCAGTAATTTCTTCTTTTTTATTTAAAAAATATAAATGCAACATACCTTTAATGAATTTTCGAATAACAGCAAATCGAAATATCCTTTTTTAAAGTTTATATTCCGCTGTATGATAAGAAACTACTTAATAGTGCACTAGTACTCAATTGACCTGAATTTTAATGATAAGTTTATTATTATTTGTATAATAGGACTAATAACAAAACTATAATCGTATAATTAAAGGGAAGTAAAAGGCTCGAAGTCTGTCGACCACATAAATTTATTAGGTTGGGTTGCAAGCGCTTTCGACCTAAAAGGTCATCATCAGGCAAAAAATTTTTGTAAGTGAGTAGGTAGGTAGGTACAATCACTATGTGTCCACAGAAAAAATTAAGTATGTTGAATTAAAAAATTTTTAAATTGTAAAAATTGTTGTAAAAAATTGTAAAAATTGGCACGTACTGCCTCCCTCATTCCCTAGGTCGAAAGCGCTTGCAACCCAACCTAATAAATTTATGTGGTCGACAGACTTTGAGCCTTTTACTTCCCTTTAATCTACTTCGGACCACTTTGAGATATGGATAATATTTGGAATTTATAATCGTATAATTTTTATTTTAAAATATATCAGGCATCATGCATTTTTTAAATAATTGCACCTTTAAACATTCTACGCCAATGGAAGAAAAGGAGTTTGAGTTTGAAATTTAGATTGCGCAACTCATTTACTTTAAAAAAGGTACTCTTGATAAGACTCGATTACTCTCATGGTTTTGACGAAATTTGCATTTTAGTAATTTTAGAACATAAACAATAATTATTAAAATACAAACTTTGTCAAAACCATGAGAGTAAATCGATTGTTATTAAGGGTACTTTTTTGTAGTAAATGAGTACCCAATCCAAATTTCATACTCAAACCCCTTTTTTGCCATTGGCGTAGAATTTTTAAATTTGCAATTATTTAAAAAATCAAGTTCTACGCCTATGTATTTTATACGATGAAAAACATAAAAATGTACTTTTTTCGTATCTTCTTCAACACCTCTAATCGAGACATTTAACAAAAATACTCGATTCTTGTCAAGTACGATTTTTGAGGAATATTAATTATTTGCCTGCAATACGTATACAAAAACATTTATTGTTGGTTTCCATAGTTTCATCTAAATAAAAATATTGTCAAGTTTTAACAACTAATCTCTTGTTAACGATTGAAAGTGTTTTATCTTACTCAATAATTAAAAAAAAAATGCGTGGTTTATTAATATGGCTGTACAATATACCAATGCAGAATATATTGATATATTACTGACATTAGGATTTTGTGAAGGAAATGCTCGAGAGAGTGTCAGGGTGTACTCTGAAAGGTTTCCAAATCGTCGTGTACGTAGCCACCCAACTTTTGCTGCTGTTGAGAGACGTCTTCGGGAGACCGATTCCTTTGCTCCCAACACTGTTGATAATGGAAGAGAACGTTTTGTAAGGATTCCTAAAGTTGAAGAAGACATTTTAGAACGTGTTGAAGAAGATCCAGAATTAAGCACCAGACGAATTAGAAGGGAACTAGGAGTAAGTAAAGATGTCGTTCATAAAGTGCTTAGAGAACAATTGCTATATCCATACCATAAGAAGCCAGTACAAGAATTATTAGTCCATTATCCTCAAATTCGTTTGGGTTTTTGTCGATTTGTTAATATGCAAAGAGAAAGAGATCCAAACTTTGTCAAGAAGGTTCTCTTTACCGATGAAGCGGGTTTTACAAGAAGAGGTATAACTAATACCCATAATGAACATGTTAATGCCGTTGAAAATCCGCATGCAATAAAGGGCTGGAATAATTGGTAATTTCATTTTTGGTCTTGTCATACTTCCACGAAGATTAACTGGAGAAAATTATTTGGATTTTCTACAAAATACGTTGCCAGAATTGTTAGAAGATTTACCTCTCCAACTTCGGAGAGATATGTAGTTTATGCTAGATGGAGCTCCACCACATTTTTCTTTAAACGTTAGAAACCACTTGAATGAACAATATCCACACAAATGGATAGGCAGAGGTAATGACGCACCTGTAAACTGGACACCACGTTCCCCAGACCTAACACCGATGAATTACTTTTTATGGGGACATCTGAAATCCACAGTTTACAGGGAACCTGTAGAAAATGAGGAACAACTCTGGTAACGTATTCAAGATGCAATAAACAATCTTAGAGGTGATGAAGAAGTTATGGAAAGGATACATTTTAATTTTCTCGACGTATAAATCTTTGTATGCGTGAAAATGGTGAACATTTTAAACAATTTTTATAAAATCTCTATTTTGATTATGTTGTAAATAAATATTTTTGTGAAACCTATACACTCTAAATTATTAAAACAGAAATTTAGCGAAAACCATGAGAGTTATCGAGTCTTATCTAGAGTACCGTTTTTAAAGTAAATGAGTTGCGCAATCTAAATTTCATACTCAAAACTCCTTTTTTTCCATTGGCATAGAATTTTTAAAGGTGCAATTATTTAAAAAATCAAGTTCTACGCCCATGTATTATTATCGGACAAAATTTTAATACCATTTTTTTTGCCACATAAAACTCTACCAATATACCAAATTTCAGCAAAATCGCATGTGCCGTTTTAAATTTATATGGGAAAAACGATTTAAAAATTGTATTTTATCTATGATCTATACACTTAATTTCTGAGGAACAAAAGCTGCTAAGTCTAAGCAGTTAAGACGCTAGAGTCGATTGAAATTCACGAAAAATGATCAAAAAACACTCATTTTTAGCACGCTGCCGTTAATTAGAGGTATTGACTGAGCAAATTATCGATGCTTACCTGCAAACTACTATCTTTCCCCCTCAGAATTCCGCTTTAATAATGTAGTTACCTTCAAAAAAAAAAAAAATTCAGAGGAAAAGTCGATAAGGCTTAAAAATATTGTTTATTTAAAGTCTTTATTTAAATAAGTGGAAAGGAGTGCTTATAAAAATCAAACTCGTGTAAATTTTCTTCTTTGGGACCCCAAGGAATAGTTCCTCAAAGTTACACCAAAATCTAAAATGGATCGGCAACAATTTTTTTTATTTTCAGACGATTTTGTATGGAATGACTTAAGGTAGATTAGTAGATAAATAATGTAACTAGAAAACGGACAAAAATTTAACAATCTGTACAAAATTGGATAACGACTAATACGAGTATTTCATCTACTACATTAAAGTTTTTTTGTTGCTTTTTGTAAATTGTTCTTCTTTATACTATTTTGCTACTACTAGAACAAAACAAATGCCTTTATTCACAGGTTTATTAATTATTTTTGTTATGATATCGAGGGGAGAACCAAAATTTTGCAGATTTAAAAATGTAAATATTATACCTATCTAGATTGCAAAAATAATTGAATATGTGCTCTTATTTCTACTACCCAGTCTAAACAACGCAACTGATTATCTCTTCTAAGTTCGATACTAATTAATATTTTCCATATAATATTTTTTTTTCTTTTCAGTTCCTATCGTACACATGGATGCGGTCGTTGGAGATCCCGTCTATCTTCCATGCGATATATCCACGGTGGAGCCTGGCGATCAGGTGTTGTTAGTGTTGTGGTATAGAGAGGATTTAGGAACGCCCATATACAGGTAACAATGTTTAATTTAGCATTACTGCAAGAGGGATGATAATTGAATCCGTGTTGGGATCTCGGAATTTACTACTGTTTCTGTATTTTAATTTAATAGATAAATTTTAATTGGCTGCAGAAATTTTAATTTGTGTTTAATCTGCTTTTGGAAATAAAACTGATCGATATTGTACGAGAATAAAACATTAATTTATTGAGTACACATATCTTTAAAGGTTAAAACAAAATTCCAAAACTACTACAATTTTGTTAAAATGAAATAGCCTAATTTTTCGGCTAATGATGGTATTTGTTGGAGAATTTTCATTTGGTTTATGGCTTTTGTCACCTTATTTTTTATTGAACTTAAGTAAAAATGCCTTTATTTTAAAACGTGTGGCTTGTTACGTTTTTACAATTGATACAATTGATAAGTTTAAATTTTCTGTAATCCTTATATTAACATTGCATTTTAATAACAAGCTTTTTTAAAAAATTTGCTGATGAATCTGAGGATTCAAGCATAGATGTAAAAATTGACGATTCTGACAACGATTTAGAAGATATGACGAGACAACTGAAACCGAATGAGGACGATGCTTATTGCATGTTTTGCGATAGTTCGTTTTCTGCTGATAAGAAAGGAGAACTATAGGTCCAATGTTTAATCCGCTTAAAATGGACTCATAATGAGTGTGGAGGCACCAAAAAAGACGAATATATTTGTGACTGGTGCAAATAATATGTAGATATATATAAAGTATTCCATATTTGGGAATTTTGTAGTTTTTTTTTTCTAACTTGTTTTTTAAAAAAGTGTTTAATATAATTACACATTTGCTTTTACATTTTGGTGTCTAATTGTCTGAAGTACCTTTTACCTAAATTTGGCTTAAATCTATTCACTAACAAAAAATTTTTTATATACCAAACAAAACGGTATTCCATATTTGCACCTTTTCGTCTAATGATTTAAATAAATTACAGAGTAAGATATATAGGGACGAGTGCCATTTGCTATATAAAATAAAGAACTCATTACGTTTCTTTATGTTAATTCTGCTTGTACATCATCTGCACATTCCAATTTTTAAATTCATTTCTATTGACGTATAAAAAAATTTATAATCCTTAATATATTGTATTTATCAGTAAAACACTCTGTATAATTTTGTTGACTTTAAAACATAGTATTTTCTTCCTCAAAGTATTTAATTTGTATACCTAGATATTGTTTTATTTGACCTAAATCTTTTATTTAAAGCTAATATAATTTTTTGAATAGACATTCCCTATGTTTTATCTCTATTCACTTTTGAAAAAAATTTACATATCTTTTTACCTGCATAAATTTTTAATAATCTAGTCAAAGCATAGTCGTTACTAGTAAATACTTGCAGTAGCTATCTGGAATTGTCATCTAGGGCTTTTGATATAAGTTTTTCCAAAAATTATTTTCGGTTTAATTTTTTTTTGGCGGTGTACAATAAATTTATTTCTTTACAAATGCAATCAATTTTGTGAATTTTAAAATTTGTTGATTGTTTATTTTGTAAAGTGGTTTGTGAGTTTTTTGGAATAAGATTTAAAGTTTAAAGAAAAAAAATTCAAAATAGTTAATACTTTTTGTGTTAAGCTTAACAAATCAGAACAGAGCATATCCAAAAGGATACTGACACGATTGTCATTTTATAAGATAATATTCACACATTACCAAAAATATAAAAGCAGTCTAATCTTGCAAAATGTTTATTTATATCAATATAGAACTATGTATAAACTGTTTAAATTATGGGAAAGAATAAAAATATTTTTACATAAAATCGGTTAGTAATATGTGTATTTGAACCCTTCGAAACAATCAGGAAACAACTTATGTCTTACTTCACTGTGTCACAACGTTCAGTTTCAATTTTAAGGTTAAAATTTTATTCTGTGGAAGTGGCGTGAGTACCAACTTAAAACATTTAAATTTCACCACCAACTCCATTTATGATTTTTCTCGACTGCTTGTTAAAAGAATTGATTATTTATGATTGAAATAAATTCTATAAAAATTACTCTCTCTTAATATAAAATCATCAATATATCAATCAAACAATCAACTAGAAAGCACTATATTCATTCAAAATGGAAACAAATTCGAAAACTGTTTTATTTTAATTTTCAATACTCATTGATTGGAATATATAACTGAACAATGATTCCGGTTTTATTGTTCATAAATTTAAATCATTCACCTATAACTATTACGAGCCTTGTCCAATCATTTAAAAACAGTTTTGATAAACTATCTTAATAACTCATTTCTTACATTAATAATGAATACACGATTTTATTTTGAAAATGTTCGTCTTAATTTTTCTAATTCAACAATCGTCGTGATTGATTAAAAGTCGTCATTTTAGAGCTGATAATAATTATTGTTATATATCAGGTGTTTTAGAAAATCATGTTATATATGATACGGCTGATGGAAATGAAAAATAGGTAAAAGTTTGCTCATTAACATAATACGAGTATGAGATTTCTATTACACAAAACAGTACCTCATACTTTTTTAAATTATGCTAGCTATCACTAATCTAAAAAGTATTTTTTTTTATTTTTATTTTAAATATATGTATTTTTTTTCACCTAAAAACAGGCTAAAAACTCTCAGGAAGGTGAAAAAAGAAGCCTGTAAAAATTTAAGCTCTTAATATTATCATTTAGTGGTGCCTTTCCATTTTCCATCTAAATAACATGGAAAAAAAATTTTTCTTTTTTCTTATTTTTGTAGCTTGATATTTGAGCATTATAAAAATAAAGTAAAACATTATTTTGGTAGGAAATTGAACGCTCTACAAAAAGTTCTAATATATTTTTTTCATATAGTAAGCCGTTCTGAAGATATTCAAACTTAAAGTTGCAAATGTATGAAATTAGGACTTTTATTTTATTAAACTGATGACTTTTTTATGTCTTAAAAATTATTTTCAAGAAAACATCATTATTTTCATATAGAAAGAAAATAACGACGCACAGAAGACAAAAATTCACCAGAAATATTTTTAAACAAAAATATAAGTGACTTTGTTTCAAAACAATCATTAAAACTTTTTAACAAATTTAATTTGCCGTACGACTTTCTGGATGCAGATGTCCTAATTTGGCCAGATAATGAAAGTTATCCAGAGAATTTGGAGTTTTTCGAAAAATTGAAAGTTGTCAATGACGTTGCAGGACATGGCGTCGCATTAGTAGAAGAATATAATAGATGCCTAGCTAAAGATGAGGAACAATTTTAATATGTATTACAAGTGGTAAAGGAGCACTGACGAAAATATCCAAATTGTAATAAAAAACTTCAACAAATATAGTTATATCATTTAATTCTGACAAGACATTAAAATATCTATTAGTTTCAAAATTTTAGTAGGGTAAAGGCACCAGTAATTGCCATTATAAGCAAGCATTTACATGAAATTAATTGCAAAAAATATAAAACATCACTTTTTTTTTGTTTACACAAAATCATAGTATGTAGTAATGATTCACTGAGAGATATTAGTTGTAACATCTTATAAGACATGTGAATTTTTCTTTAATATGAAATATTTTTTCATGTTAGTCAGAAATACTAGTAATTGCCACAATTATATTTTAGAAAATCCAGTAGTTGCCACTGTAATTGGCCAGTAATGGCCAATGCCAAGTTTGGCATGTGCAAGCAAAAAGAACAGCAATAAAAAGGACACTGTAAATTGTATCTAATACACTTTTATTTTTTAAAATAAATTAGCGTTTCTAAATATCCAAAATGTGTGAGCTTTTTTTGTTGTGAAGGCATAGCTTGAGGTGTGACTTCTGATTTGGTGGCTCTATCCCTCATGCATTTGGAATAATCTACAGCATCAGGTGACCAAGGAAACAGCCCACATCTTCTAAATCCATTAACAATGTGTTCCTTTGTAACCCCATTTATGGCTTCACGAAACATTAACGGAAAGTTTGTTTTATTTAGATTTTCAACATTGCTGTCCAATCTCCACTCATGAACAATTATTCTAACAATTTCCTACCAGGTTTGTCATTTACGAATGAATTCTTACGTTGGGTGTTTTTCATTAATATTTGAACTGTTGATAATAGATCATCTTTATGAGGGAAAGATCCCTTGCTTGAAATTGTGGTTATCTATTTTATAATGGAATTTTCCTCTGTTTTAGTTAAAACACTTAAAGGACCCATTTTTCGTTCCAGTGGTGTTTTTCCCAGAACTTTATTTTTTAAAGTATTTCTTGGTACTTCATACATTTTCGCCACAGTAGAATATGGTATTCCATTTCTACAAGCTGCAATAGCAGCATATTGGAAGAAAGATTTCTTTGCTTTTTCCATTTTAGTATCCTAAATAAAAAATTGCCACTATAGCTAACCAATAATTGCCACTTTAAAGAAGCAGTGGCAATTACTGGATTTTTTCAAAATATCTTGCTCATATTTAAAAAATAAAAATTTGGAATTCTAGACTTTATCTATTTATTTATTTACGGGAAACCCCCATTTTACAATAAAAAATTTATGATATATGCACAAATACAAAATAAAAAACATCAAAAATTATATCATGTAAAACATTTGATTAAAACATATGATTAAAACATATGATTAAAACATATGATTAAAACATTTATTTAACAAGGCAGACAATAACAGTACTTTCAAGTGTCATTAAGAAAGTGGTTAGCAATACTTCTTTTAAATGAAGGATATGACGAACCAAAAAAATCCAAGTCTATTTCTATACTGTTAACACTCCTAACCAATCGTGTTGATGGACTATAAAAGCCGTAATTTTGTCTATGGTGTCTAATAAAAAAAATTTCATTAGCTCTGGTTGCACTATTAATTTTAAGACCAATTTTTAATAAAATATCAGGAGAATATATTAACCCAGACAAAAGTTTGAATAGGAAGCATAGATCTAATTGAGTTCTCCGGTTCTGCAAAGTTGTGATCTCTAATCTGGAACAT